TTAAAAGCGCTCTCAAACAAGGCCATAATATTAATTTGTCAAAGTACCAGGTCTATTCAAGGAAGTGGATTTGGCTAGAAAAACTGACCAAAAATAGTCCAGAAAACTGGCTGAAACGAAGCAGAAAACAAATCGTAAAACTGTCCAAAAAGCTACCCACAAAATCGAGGCTATTTTCGTGATTTTCGGTCAATCCAGAAAGGGTTTGGTGAAACGGTGACCATCAGCGTGACGTGTAGGTGGAGGAGTGCCAAGGTGGTTGGCGCATAGGATCACATGCAGAGGACTCTTACGATGAGAGAGGGCGGGTGCGGAGGTTTTCGATGACGGTGTCTTCAAGTAGTTTGTCCCTAACATCATTTTTGACATTTTGGTGTTGGTAGTTTTCTTTTTCACATTATACTATAAAATCTAGGCATATTTGTTCTTCACGCATTTGGGATTTGATCGTGATTAATTGATTTTTGCAATTGTTGGAGACTTTAGGGTGAATAGTGGTGATCCTAAAGTGATAAATTTGCACCTCTCGTTATTTACGGACTCAGATTGGCCCACTTTGGTATATTGACTTATCCTAATTTAAATCCCAGCATTAGCGCATCATCGTGTAGTATGACTTTAGAATTGGGGTTATTGTGTTGGATGACCATTACTTGTGCTAGAAATTTCGGAATTCTTTGCTCTGTTTAAAGTGTTGAATTTGATTGCAAATTGGTAACTGATTTTGTGCCTCAATTGTCATTTAGTCACCGTGTGAGACTGCATTACATGAGAATTTGAATTTTTTGTTGACATATCTTCGTATTGTATTGATTAATCTATTAGAACACTTATATTTGACCCATTTGAACATTCCCTTAATTCTGAGATTTTGAATCTCATGAAACCCTAAGAATCTAGAACAATGCATACTGCGGCCTTAGAATTACTTTAATGACCTATTTTTCTACTTTAGTGGTTCTGTTTTTCAAAATATATTCACATTTTGAAGTTGGAACTTTCAGTGAGAAAGGGGATTTCTCAATTTGGCAACAAAAGATGAAGGAGATTTTGGTTCAACAAAAAGTTTCAAAAGCCATAGATGACAAATTTCCTACAAATTTGACAGATGCACAAAATGAAGAATATGATGAATTTGTTTACACTTAATATTTTACACCCGTCAGACACTGTTTTAAGAAAAATTGGGAAACTTGATACCACGAAAGAACTTTGAAAAAAGTTGGAACATTTATATTTGCTTTATTTTACGCTTAATAAATTGTACTTGCTTGAAATATTTTCTAATTTTAAAATGGATCCTTCAAAGAGTCTTGATGACAATCTAGATTTTTTAACAAATTTGTACAAGATGTCGTTAAATGTGATGAGATTGTGTTAGTAACTTATAACGCTATCATTTTGCTTAATTCTATACCCGATTTATATAGAGATATTAAGAATGAGATTAAATATGGTAGGAACACCTTAGCACCTGAAATTATAATTATTTTTCTTACAAGTAAATAGATGGTGCTTAAGGTTATAAAAGATGATAGGAGGAGTGGTAAGATATATAAAGATGTTGCTCATTTTCAAAAATCTGGATTTTGAAAGAGTCAACGTGACAGAGATGTGCTCTCTATACTTGCAATCTATAAATATAATTCTTGCTGAGATTTTAGTTGCAGTTTTTTGGTGTACGTAATTGTTCACTTTTGTAGGAATAAGAATGATATTAGTCTTGCAAAAAAAGAAAAAAGAAAGAATGATATTAGCCTTGCAAAATGGAGATAAAAGCAGATGTAGGATTGCGGAAAATAAATCATATTTATTGAGATGATGTTTGGTTAAGTAAAATAATTAAATTATAAGCTAAAAAGTTAGTTTTATCATAAATTTGGTAAAAAATAAACAAATTATTTATTTTGATTTAAATGTAAGAATTGCTTTTGAAAAAAGTAACTTCTTCAATTTAAATTCATTTATCTAGACATGAAAGTACATATAAGTTATTTATATTTATAAAACTTAGGCAAACATGCTCTTATTGCAAATTCAGATTAATAAAAAATTGTTTGTTTTAAATATTACGTATAAACAAATTTTTAGGCTTAGCCAAATATGTTGTTAGTGAAAAACTGACAAAGTCGTGTTATTGGGTTATACAGCTAGAGAATTGTTTAGTAAAGAGAAGTCGTTAGTTGAGTAAATGGGTTTGTTTTGTCCCACATCGGATATTGAAGTTTGAGACGAGGGAAGGAGTGGCTATAAAATGAGCCGCCCATTCACTTAGCTAAGCACGCAGCCGTGCGGTGAGCACAAAGCGAACTATTCTTTCGCCTTTTACTAAAGAATACCGTGTGCTCGCCGCAATTCAGCGGTATACGCCTATTTTTGGAGGGGTCTCTCCCATTGGAAGTGCCCCCAACAATTCCAGTCTAAATGATTTTTCTGTTCTCCCAGCCGTCTACTCTAATGTGTATTATTAAGCAAATGAATTTGGGTAGAGTTTAAGATAATAGAGATTCAAGTAGTGACTTGAATGATGATGGTGGTAAGAAGAAGGGTAAGGGATGTGACAAGTCTAGTGGTAAATGGTGTTATAGTTATATGTATATCTTTTTTTTTTGGGGATTAAAGGAGGGCAGTACTTTCGAGATTTTATTAATATATCCTTACTTGTGGTAGAGGAATACCGTGTTTACATAAGGAAATAATGAAAGCAGTAAATATGGAAGTACTACTTCCCTTAAAATGGAAATAAATGATAATGGAAAAAAATAAGAATAAAAAATAAAAAAAAAATCATATTCTAATACTAGACAGTCCTTGTCTATCAATCTGTACGAGTGCCGTAACAAGTCGTAGTAAGTCGGTTGCTCCATATATCTGATATCGTCAATAATCCCAACCTTTCGCAACAAAAGCATCTGCAACATGACTTCACTCTCTGTAGATGTGGGTAATTATATCTTTATCGGATGATATGACGTCTATTATATGTGTTAGTATGCCCTGAATAGCCCATGGTCTTACTCCTCTAGTGATGTAATGAGTAGCTACTACAGAGTATGACTCAATCCAAATATCTGAAAGACAGAGTCCTCTGGCTAGTAAAATCCCATCCAAAATAGCCATGAGCTCTGCCTCTAATATCATGCACTATCCATACAACGCTGAGAAAGCCCAAATACATTGACCTACATAATCTCTAATGATGCCTTCCCCGCTCGCAAAACCATCCTTGACGCATCCATCGATATTGTTCTTGACAGATCAGACTAATGGAGTGCACCATCAAACCAAAACAAGGGAAAATGAGGATGGGGGGTCTAAAGCAATATCAAAGATGGGTGCAAGCGTCCAAACCCTTTGCCAATGCACAACTCGAAACAGTCTTCCCTTATGAAGAAAACGGATCGTGCGATGAATCCTCTAAATGATACGTCTGGCCTCTATAAGGATCCCTC